ATGAAAAAAGAACATCGTTTCTCAAGTCTTTCGTTCTTTCTCATTGAGTTCATGTCATGCGTCTCTCTGATGCTATCTATCTATCTATCTATCTATCTATCTATCTATCTATCTCACTCTGTTCTATCTATCTATCTATCTATCTATCTATCTATCTCACTCTGTTTCATATCTATCTATCTCATCTCCATGTATCATATCATCTATCTATCTATCTATCTATCTATCTATCTATCTATCTATCTATCTATCTATCTATCTATCTATCTATCTGTTCATATCTATCTATCTATCTATCTATCTCTGTTCATATCTATCTATCTATCTATCTATCTATCTATCTATCTATCTATCTATCTATCATATTCATCTATCTATCTATCTCGCTCTGTTCATATCTATCTCATTCTGTTCATATCTCCATCTATCTCAATCTGTCTATCTATATCTATCTATCATATCTATCTATCTATCTATCTATCTATCTATCTATCTATCTATCTATCTATCCCATTCTGTTCGTATCTATCTCTGTAAAATATTTGAGTTTATAAATATAGATGTGTGTGTGTGTGTGTGTGTAGATATTTGTCTAATTAGATATCACGTTTACTCCTTATCTTTGACCGTCATATCTCTTATTATATGTGTGTGCCTGTTGGCCTGCGTCTGTGCGTTTTGGACAGACTGTTGCAATCTATCTATATATCTATATCATCCTGTTTTCATTTATCTCAGCCAAATATCAGTCTTTATATAGATAAGAAATATTGTATCTATCTATAAAATATTTGGCATCTGCATTGTGTAGATATCGTGTTTTTATGAATCTTAGCATGTTACTATCTCTCTATCTATCTATCTCTCTCTCTATATCATCTCTCTCTCTCTCTATCTATCTATGTAGGTATCTACGCGTGTTTTTATTTTATTTCTCTTTTATCTTTGTCCATCTCTAGGTCAAACATCAATATATATATATATATATATATATATATATATATATATATGACACATTTATCCGGTCAAATTTGAACTTATCCGGAAAACGGTTATATAAAAACTGCTCAATTCACACGTGAGCAGTAAGGTACACTCTGACTGATTGCTAAGTTACATCATGGATGCACACACACACACACACACACACACACACACACACACACACACACACGTGTGTGTGTGTGTCTCTAATTTAGCAATCACTCAGAGGGGACCTTACTGCACACATGTGAATTGGTCTGTCGGTTGTGAAAGGCCACTGAGTGAGCATGTGTACTGTGAGGCCATTGCATTCATCATGGGTCATGGGAATAGAACTGACCGTTCTTCGTGTTTTGTTTAAGGGATATATTTACCAAAACATTATGGCATCAGCTACCCAACATTTCGGTGTCCTCTTGTCCAGTCCAGAAGACTAGAGATTGAGTCACAGTAAGTCTTCTCATATTTCCATCTTGTTTCTTCTTCTTCTTCTTCTTCTTCTTCTTCTTCTTCTTCTATTATTATTATTATTATTATTATTATTATGTTTCGTCACACAGTGTAAGGTCTTGAATCCATCGGGCACATTAACTTATCTGTCAAGTCACAACCAGGACTTTAGACCGACAACACTTTCCTCAAAATATGAACAATGCCCAAAAGGAAGTCACACAATTTTAATGTGATTTATCCCAATGCGGTATTATTGTTATATTTCAAGTAATTTCATAATCACTATGTATTTGATGATTACAGATTTTTAATAAGATAGTATTGCGCCAAGCAAGGTAATACAGCCATTAAAGACGCAAGTGGTTACAGGGTGTGGAGGAATTAGGAACAGAAACATTAACAACGAGTCGAAAGAGAAAAGAGTAATCAGAAGGACAGGAGATAGCGATTGACATTGCATTTAAATGTTTGAAGATTATAGTTGGCTAGAAAGCATAGAGCCGGGAGGGAGTTCTACATGCGAGAAGTGCGAGAAAGGAAACTGTATATTGATGATATCTTGACGCCAGTGTAGTAGTGCGCTTAAATTCGAAAAATCTAGGGTACCATAACGAAAAGCTCATCCGAACAATAACCATAGAGAGAAGCAACTTTACGGCAGTGGGCAAGTGACTGAAGCCGAGCTGCCTGATCAAGACCAATAATATTTCTGATTCTTCTTTGGATCTTATCAAGGAGCTTCAGGTAGATAGCACGGGTACCGGACCATATATAGTAGCAATATTCTAAGCATGGACGAATGGTAGACTTATATCAGCTGAGAAGGTAAGCTCGTGAAGGTGAAATAGATTTAGGGTGATAGCAAATCTTCTAAAATATCTAGAACGTTACACAGTATCATTAATATTACATTTCTTGTGATTGGTGGCAACACTGTAGATTTCCTGAGGCGTATACGGCCACGGTTTTATCACTCTAGGTAAATGCAATTTGGTGGCAAGGAGTTAGCTTCACGTCCAACCGGTTATGTATTCAGAATTTTCCTTTTCATAGATTGGTTGTTAACCAAAATAGAGAGACCATATTCAGAACTGAAGTGCCGACTGTGGGAGTGACCACCTTTCAGTGACATGTAAACTACGGTAGAACTAAGGGAATTGGAGAGGGCCGAGGTAGCACCCAAATTGCAAACATCTGACTGGGATGGGCGTCAAGGAGAAATATGTACAAAGTGAGAATGGAAACTCGAAGTGCCACAAATTAAGAGAAGCTTTAGTAAAATCATCAATCGAGATCTTCTCAAAGAAAAATAGACAAAGGATAAAAGACTAGATGATAAATGAAATTCTTGATATAATGAAAACGAAACAAAAAACAGTGCCAAGATACGGCACAGGATATAGGACTCTACACAAAGAAATTAGAAAGAAAGACAGGCAAGCTAAAGAGGAATGACTCAACGAAAAATGTGCAGAAATAGAAAGAACGAGTATCACAGATAAAACAGCTATGCATAAAAAATAAGAGAAATAACAGGACAAAACATATGATCATAAACAGGATGCATAAAATTCATGGACGGGACAAATTAGAAAAAGAAGAAATACTTTAGAGATGGTACGAATGTATAAGAGAACTCTTCCACGTGGAAAGAGAACAAGCGCCAATAAACAGAAATAAGGAACGACTAGAAATACTGAAATTTGAAGTGTCATCAATAATGCGTAACTTGATCCGAAACAAAGTAGCAGTGCCAGACAGAAACGTAATACAGATGTTAGCAGCCTTTGATGATTTCGGCATTGACAAGATTACAGACATAATAAATGAAATATTCAACAGTGGCGATATACCGAAAGACATAAGTATATCCATTTTATAGCGTTGCTTAAGAAGCCAGGTGCAAAAGAATGTGGACTCCATCGGACAGGACAGTCAGTCTATTGAGCGCTATGAAACAAAACTTGTCATCCGAATCTTGATGAATATAACTCAGAACCAGACTGGAAATAAGACGAGAACAGTACGGCTTTGTTAAAGCCACTGGGACAGCGTAGCGTGGCCATTTTGAGAGAATTAGGTGTCCTGTTAGGATTCATTATTGGTGGATTTTGTCATGTCAACGAACACTCGTTTGACACCTTTGTGATGCCAACGAATACCCGTTGTCCCTTTCGGAAATGCTCGTTGTAGTAGAGACATTATAATCGTAGATACAAGCTGTAGTAACACCGTTGAACAATGCTGGTATCAGACGCCTTCGAATATCCCTCGCACTAATAGTACTTGTTCGATGATACTCGCTCGAACAGTAATCTGTATAGTAATCCGAAGAGGAAGAGTAAATAGAGTAGATAAATAGTATAGACTAGAAATAGTGATCCATATGTTAATAGAGGACAGAATAGAAATAGCGATCATTAGTCATCAGCTACTTCCTACATGTATGTGTTTCCTCTATGGTCACATGGTCTACTTAATTCAATAATGGGATCACCTGCGTTTGCTCGCTGGTGATCTATGTTCAAACTCAAGTGTTGGCAGCCACATTTTATTTCTATATAACACCTCCTCTTTGGGATGATTTCCTCTGGAGTCTATGTTTCTTCAGCTTCGGTTCAATATTCAAATATTCCATTGATATTCTTTTTCTTTTACTGTACATCCTTGGTTCACTAATTTCTGGTGACGTGAGTACATCAAACATGTCATACAATATTTCCATCGGTACCTCTTTTCATGGACTTACTAAATCAGTAATCTCCATTTTAACTGATTAAGGTGTCACTTATATTCCCACCTTTGTCCCTGTACCAATTATGTCATTTTGCCAATCTGTTTTGGGTTTTTTTTTTATAACACCATCTTCCCAGAATTTTTTTTTACATTGGTACATTTTAAAAAACACTTTATCATTAGGTTTAAAATATTTATTTATATTATTTTGATTCCTTGATGTTCTCATCTTCCGTTTTGGTAGTAATTTGTTAAATATGGACTTAACCTTCCTGGCGAACAACAACTCTGCAGGAGACATTCCAGACATGGTGTTCAGGTTTGGCGTAATTCTGTAAACTCAAAAATTGTTGTAGCATTATTTCATCCAGCTCCTCTCCATCCAACTTTTTTAGTGTCCTTTTAAACGTACCGACAAACCGTTCCGCCTGTCCGTTTGATCTTGGGTGATAAAGGGGAGTTGTAATATGTTCTATTTCTAATGATTTGGAAAAAAAAACTTAATTCACTAGACATGAATTGAGTCCTGTTATCTGAAACGATAGAGTCAGGAACACCGAACCTTGGAAAAATCTCGTGTAGGAAATTTATCGTTACTTCCGTAGTTGGTCTTCTATATTTTAATATTTCTGGCCATTTAGTGTAACTATCGACTACCACTAGATAGTATGTTCAGTTTAATGGTCCTGCAGAATATTATATGTATTCTGGACCATGACATATCGGTTTTCGGCCAAAGTTGAATTTTGATAGTCAATGGAGCACAACCTCTGCATGATTTCACTAAATTTTCGATATCCTTATCCATTTTTGGCCTGTAGGTATAACACCTCATTAGGGATTTTATTCTAGAAATTCCTGGATGCCCTATGTGAAATTCTTTGCAATGAATTACGTTTTTGCAACGATGCTGGTATCACAATTCTTTCTGCGCACATAATTATATCATTACGTAATGAAAATGCATTATTTCCAGCAATATTTTTTTCCTTTAAATCTTAATTGCTTTTTCATTTTCATTATAAAGTTGTCTTTTTTCGACTTAATTTTTATTTCCTTCAATATTATGAGAAGTTCTCTTACAATATTATATAATACATTATTAATTTCATTTTCGGTCCTTATCGTCGCAATTACTGTGTTTTCAAGTGGTTCGCAGAATTTTGGTATTATTCTAAACGAAAATGCTGCATAACTTAATTTTTTGGATGGTAGAAACTCCATTTTATAATTATAGCTTAATAGAATAGTTCCTCGTCACTGCAGTCTATTTGCTCTGCGTGTGTGTAGGAACATCCTTTTTTGATCCATATATCAACAATAATGGACGATGATCTGTCTGTAGTATGAGTCCTCTATCATGTATGCATTTGTGAAACTTTTTCATAGCAAATATGATTGCCAATGCTTCCTTTTCAATCTGGCTATAGCTTTTTTCAGCTGCAATCAATGATCTTGAAGCATGAGCTATTGGTTTATTTGTTCCGTCCTCATATTTGTGTAGTATTTGTGTAGTATCACTGCTCCAATACCCGAATCACTTGCAACTGATGCAACCACAATCTTTAATTTAAGGTCAAAATGTGCTAGTGACAAATCCAATATGAAGGCGTTCTTGATCTCTTCGAAAGCACTTTCACATTTACCTGTCCAATTCCATTTTACATCTTTCTTTAGCAGGTTACTTAAGGGTACTCTTCATTCGTGCATGTTTTATATATATATATATATATATATATATATATATATATATATATATATATATATAAACATGCTTGTAACTTTA